TTTGACATGAATTCACACAATGCCCTGACTGGCAGAATGTCACAATAGCCGATTGAAAAAAATCCAATTTCTTTCGGGATGAGGAAATAGTTTACGTAGCAACATTTCCGAATAGCAGTTAACCAATTAAATGCAACCTCCATGTAGTTCGAATGCTTTTATTGTTCTCTTAGTCACACTTATCATACGGCTGTCGTATTACGATCGCATCAACAACAGCCTACAACAGCTCTGCTCGATAAGTGAAGCAATGACAACGTTTTTCAAATTTAATTGATCTTCGGCCTTTTGCTAGTTTTGCCTGCTTACTTGCCCTGACTACGAAGTAACAAATAAATGAACGAACGAACGAGCAGACGAAGAATGAATGAATGATAGAAAGATATGTAACCAACCATCCAACCAAGACACATGGTACTCCATCAAATTCGTATGATGTACTTACTCAAGACCATCATGCCTGGCATGGCATGTGGCATTTCGGTTCATTGTTAAGATTTGAATGCGATCATAAAAGTCAACTAAACCCCATGACCCACATTTTGTCCATGAACCGCGTATTTTTTTCGCTTTCGAATTGAATGCGACTGTGTGTTCGCGTGTGTCTGTGTGTTTGACCAAAAAACGGCGACTAGCACATCTCCATTAAGAATCCATGTAAAAAATAACAACAACAACAACAACAGCACTTCTTAGCAACAAATTTTGGTGAAAAGGGTGATCGACCAAAACTCAATGTGACACCGCCACAAGTTGAGCGCGTGAAAGTCAAGTACAAGCCATAAATTGGACAACTAACCTCATCGCGGATCAACTAGCCGCGGAACAAACAAGCCAAGCCAAATACCTATTCCCATATGAGCGGTAGTACATGGTCGGTGACACATGAGATACGAGCGTGAGCAAACGTCGTACCGCAACGCGCATGAGTGCAGTATGTTTAAGCATTTGACTGTTCGCTTCTACGCCTTTCATTTATTTTCTTTCAGTCTTTCTTCAAGCCTTAATTTATCCACTGGATACAATTTGTTCGTTCAGTCAGCGAATTTCGAGTGGATCGCGCTATGGCCGTCATTGATGTTGCAGCCGATGTTGGCTGCTGCATTAGAAGAAATGCGTCTGGGCAACCACAAACTAACAACATGCACCATTACCCGATTGGTGATTGAGTGAGTGACTGCATGCACATTCTGCATTCGAACACACTAACTCGCGCGCCGCTCTCTAGCTCACATATCCACAGACAGCGAGTCGATTTCCATTTGAATGGAAAACCAGTGTTATCTTTCATTTGATATCATTGTTCTACTTTTCACTGTTTGCGCTAAAAGGCAATTTAATTGTTTTCAAAAGAACCGCAGAACAGCACCAACAGCAACACCAACAACGCCAGAACAGATAGAGGAGAGAGATACGATATGAACGATACCACGCCACACAGGCATAGCTGAAAATAAAATTCTAAATTATTTATGAATATTTTTTGCGTTCATTTTGGTATTGAATTAAGGGCGTCTGATGAACGAATTGTGTTCCATTAGGAATAGTCTAGGCTATACGTTTTATTGCTTTCGAATTCAGACATTTGGAACTTTAACGTTCACATTTGTAGAAATGACACTGTTTCATACCAAAACGTTATCAAATGCTTCACTTTGATGGAATAAAACACGTTGCATGCGAAAGTTCTTTTTGGCGATTCTTTTCAGTTTATTCTTTTCTGCTAGTCCGGTGTCCATATAATATTTTTCCACTCTTTTTGGAACCTCGTCTACTTAAGTTCATGATTTTCAAAAACAAATCGTATATCACGTAGAAAACGAAGAAAGTTCGGTATTTTAATATTAATGCCAGACTTAGATTAGGTGTGATAATGGACAAGAACCACGAACCGAATCCGCACCTCATTTGTAACATGGACAGATGAGATAAAAAAACGCCAAAATTTTAAATTTTTTTAAATGGTATTGAATGAAAGCAAGAAATGTCGGAATAGCATCAAATTTTAGAACAAGTTTAGATTAGTTCGAATTGGTCACCTTTGGCACGGATTATGGCATTCAAGTGGCCAATGAAATCGTCACACGCTGCCCGAATGTTGCTCTGCCCATTCCCGCAGAAGCGCTTGCTTGAGGTGATCGACGATCAATTGGTTTGTTTACAAACTGCTGGACAACGAATGTTTTCTCATCGGAGAAAACCAAATTCGGCAATTCAGCACTTTCGGCCAAGTGAAGCAACTCTTTAGCTCTTTTGAGTCTATTTCCTTCCTGTTGAGGCGTAAGTTCTTGCTCTTTTTGGAATTTCAATGGCTTTACCCCGAGCTCATTTTTTAATATTTGCCGAATGGAATATAGCGATATGTTCAGCTGTAGAGCCATTTTTCGGCCACTCGTGAGCTTTTCGAACCATTTCTGCTGATATTGCTGTTTTCTTCCGTCCACTTCCTTGACGTCGTACTTCTAGTAGCACGGTAACGAGGAATGGTGCGAGACACAAAAGATTTATTCACATTTAAATGCTGGAGTGCCCTAACGATAGGCAGAAATCACACTATCACGCTTGAATTCCATCACGAATAACTGGCTTAGAAATGATAGCAGTGTAAAGTTGGTTGCCGTTTTTTCATCTCACCCTGTTTACGGATACAGCCTTGGAAATTTCTTTTGATGTTTATATTAAGCTTAATATATTGTCTAATGATTTATGTACTGCATTCATCGCGCTTACATCCCTTTAATCAAATTTACAAAAATCCATTTATATTTCTTTAATCTATCCAACTCCCCCATTTTTTAATGGTTTCTATTTTAGGAATACAATTCTCTTTTTATTTACTTCGAAAAGAAGGTTAACTGCATTCATGCTGCACATAATTCATCCACACCCCGAATTACTTCTGGTTCACCCAATTCTCGTTTTATTTATAATCCTTTTTTGTCGAACAAAAAACCCAATATCTCTTCGCATTTTAAAATGCAACGAAAGAGTAATTAAAGCAAAGCTATCTGACATTATTTACCGCTCTTTGACACCGTTTAATATTTTATTTATATCGAAGGAAGGAAATAAGTGTCAGTGAGCCATTATACGCCCTAATTCGTTGGCCGCAGGGACCCATATTTACACAAACGAAAAGATGTTCCGGGTTACTCGTGCCAAACGGCCGACGATGTGCATTGTCGTTGGATTTATCCCCCCACAAATAAGGGTAGAGAATTTCCAGCATTATATCGCAATGATATGCGGTGTCACGCAGTCTCGCCATTTCTCTTAAAATTACAACTTTCTGTCACTGAAGAGAACTTTTTGGCACTTTTGCATGTTGCATCCCCTAGTTAAGCAGACCGTCGTCACACAGAAAAAGTCTCTCCCTTTTCCGAAAACTAAGGTTGGCAATGTATCACCAGGCCAAGCTAACAAACGTACAAAAACAAAACAAAAACATAAAAATGAAGCATGCCAAAGAGAGGCGAACCAAACAAACAAACAAAAAAGTGACACAACACTGCCGGGCCATGCTTGGAATGCATTGAAGTTAATCAGCTAAGGTTAGTACCGGTTTGCAATCGAATCGAATCTGGTCGTCGCCACAGCTACCCGGCACGCAAATGCACACCGGTGGACGTTGAGCAACCAACAACATTCAGTCAGTTTTGGACGTTTGTGTCATTGTGTCGCTTCGAGGGTTCACAGTTGGACATTCATCCATCTCCGGCCGGCCGACCGTTCGTCTAAGCACCCAACCGCTGAAATCGATACTGGTGATTGCTTGAGCCCGTGGCGTTCACATTTCTTGTACCCGCTTGTTGTTTTATTTCTGTTGTGTGTTTTCGGTCGCCCATTAGCAGCGAGCGTTTTTGCTTTGGATTTCTGCTTGAATGCATTCGGATGCATCTCGTAATTAAGAGTGACTTGTGTCGTCTTCGACGGGCTCCCACATGAATTATCTTGTGCCTGCTCGATACTCTTGTCGGTGGGATGCTCATTAAATCCGTTGGCAGTGTTGTGGGTTTTCGGTGACTTGTACGTGTTCCAAAGTGTTCTCTGTAAGGTAAGCAGTGCAATGGGAATCGAATTGGCAAAAGAACCAAATGAAACCTTACATGTTGAGTGTGCACCGTGCACGGTACACCGGTCATTTGGCAGTGTGGTAGTGCGGCAGCCCTTGTACCCTTAACCTTTGTTTGTGGGTTGGAGTCTCTGTTAAGGACTACTTAGCACCATTTGCCATTAGGCGAAGTGTTTTGTCGTTTCATTTATTCATTCATGAGCTGGGTTCTTGGGCTCATTGTTTTCATTTGCATTTGTCGCAAACGTAAGAGGAGGGAGGCAATCAGGCGCACAAAATTAAGTCTACACGCAAAAAAATATAAGCCTCTCTAACATATGTCCCAAACATATTTTGCAGCAAACAAATATATGTTTGCAAACATTCCCAAACATAACATATGTTTGGGTGCTGCAAACAAATTATGTTTGGGTCCAAACATAATTAATGTTTGGGTCCAAACATAATTAATGTTTGGGTCCAAACATAATTAATGTTTGGGTCCAAACATAATTAATGTTTGGGTCCAAACATAATTAATGTTTGGGTCCAAACATAATTAATGTTTGGGTCCAAACATAATTTTTGTTCGGGTGCAAACATAATTTATGTTTGGACCCAAACATTAATTATGTTTAGATCCAAACATAATGTATGTTTGGCTGGAAACAAACTTATGTTTCGGTCCAACCATAAGTTGTGTTTGGATCTAAATATAATTTATGTTTGGGTCCAAACATAATATATGTTTAGATCCAAACATAATGTATGTTTGACTGGAAACGAACTTATGTTTGGGTCCAAACATAAGTTGTGTTTGGACCTAGATATAATTTATGTTTGGGTCCAAACATAATATATATTGGGGTGCAAACATAAATTTATGATTGGGTCCATTTGTATACTTACTGCAGATATAATTCAACCATAATGCAAACTAGTTTTAAAATCAATTTTTGATATTCACATTTTATTTAACATAAAATAAATTCATACATATTATAATATATAATATAAAATTAAAAAACATATACATATTATAAGCATATGTTTTAAAGGCAATTTATAAATAAATTATTTTCAAAATTTGAACATATATAAAATGTGTCATTTGTGTACAATAAATCGACTGGATGTGTGAAAAAAAAATCGTCGAGTTCTACTCGAAATCCATAAAAATGGGAATCAAATCCATGATTCAATATTCTTTGCAGACAAAAAATTGGTTGTGGTTCTTTACAAATATGCAAAATAAGGCCGAATTCCGGCAACTGGTCTTCACTATATCCGATATGTACAACCATTTTGTTTTTATAGTAAATGCCATTAATAGTTAGATTGTTTATAATTGAAATAGGATTTTGTAAATGAAATTTCTTTACAATACTTTCTATGTCGCATTCTACAACTCTCTCTCCTTCAACTTTGTTAGTATAAAACTCTTCAAAGTTTAATATAGTATTGGCGATGTTAAGCTGATATTTTGTGAATAATGTTTTTATTAAATTAACTCTAGAATTGGTGGAAGTTGCACAGTTTTTGAAAGGCTGGTGGAACGCTTCGAATCGAATTGATGACAAGTGTTTTAGCGGACCAACTTCGTCCATAATTCGTCCATAGTGAGTCAAATTATGATATTTAGGTTTCAATGTTGAATTTGAGAGTTTCAAATATAATCTGTGGTGCTCAGTTATCGAGTTTGTTAGTATTACGTTTGACTTAATTTGTAAAACGTCAGAGTTACAACATATGTTTAAAATTTCTCTTAGCAGTAAATACAAGTGCCATTCTTCGCAATCTGGGACTAAGTCGCCTATTATTAAAGATAGATTAGAAGAAAATGTTTTCATTTCAGATGCAGACATTTTAAACTTAAATTTCAGAAGAGCATCACTATTTAAAATGGGTGGCTTATTCTTACAGTTAGGACCATAATTAAATACCAAAATGCGATAATTTAACTGTTCTAAAGTAAAAAACTTATATTTTGTAATAAATGAATTTAAAATGAATATCAAATCGTAATGGCAAACACCCTCTAGCAAATCATGCATGACATCAATGGCAAAGTTGTTAAGTACATTAAAATGTTCTAATTTATTCCAAACGCATGTTTCTTTTATACCTGTCTGTCTAGCGTCTGATGTCTCTACATCATCAGCATAATTAATGTCATTTCGCAACAAACTTGGTTTTTCTTCACAAGATGTCTGCGTATCGCAACGTTTCATTTTGCAAAATCTACAAAAAAAATTGCTTTGAAAACTTTCTGAAAATCCGAGAACAGTATTCAACCCCAAATTATCGCCTAGAACCAAAACAGAAACAATTTTTACGACCTTATATCCTTCTATTTCTGAATCTAAAATTATTCCCTCACTCTCTAGGATGTTCAGATATTTTATGAATGGTGTGAATACACGGGAATTTCCAAATTGTTTCCTGTCTTCACTAAAGAGAAGCATTCCTGTAAAAATATTTTGTAATTTCGAAGCCATATGGTCTGGCATACACGCGAATTTTACATACACACCACAAATTTTTTGGATGCCAGCGTGCGAAGCTAGAGCATTATTCGGTTCAAAGTCATCACTGAAAATAAACAAAGGTAAATAAAATATTTCTTTCGATGTTGGATATTTAGATATTATTTTTTTCCAGTGATTACTTTGAACATAGTTTTTTATGGTGCCATTATTTTGGTGTGTCAACAAATTTTGGTAATATAAAATAATGTCGCGAAGAAAAGGGGTAGAATTGAAAAGAACGCCAAAAAATATTTTTAAAGGAAATATCCCTACAGTATAATTAATTTTTTTTAAAACAACTGAATTATCCATGTCCATACATTCATTAATTTCATCTTGTATATTATGATATTCAATATCGAAAAATAATTTACTACGTTTTAGTTCTGATATAATTTTGTATTCTGAATTTAGTTGGCTTGCTTGTATTAAATTACACACAGATAAAATTAATTCCGTTTTCTTTTCATTGTCGTCCCATTTTGAAAGCTGTAACTGCAAATGAATTTTCTGAAGGTATTTTTTGTAAAACAGCACTATTTGCTTAGAATTTGTTATTGCTGAATTCCGTGAAATTGTCTTATGACTGTATATTTTAATAAATACTTTCAGAAATTCCATTCGAATCTGTTCTATTTTTAGAGACAATAAAGTGCTAGATTCAAAATCTTCATTATCCACAGGCTCTGAGTATTCTTGCAAATATTCGTTTGAAATATGATGAATATCTAGTTCTTGACTAACTACAGGCTGATGTTCATCTGATCTTTCTCTAAGTTCAACACATAAATGTTTTCTCAAATGGGATCTAAATGATTCTATATTGGTGAATTTGCGACTACAAACCAGACATTCAAAAAATTTGCAACTTCTGTGTTTTTTCCTATAGTGTTTTATGAGATCTTTAAGAATATCACAATTTGCTTTGCAAAGGTGGCAAGTTAATACTGTCATCGTAAAGTAACTTAAAATGATCTTTAAATTAAAATAAATCAAGAATATAATAATGAATAAAAGACAATACAAATACAAAATTATTAAAATAAGTCTTTGATTATGGTTTCAATAATAGCTACCTTTTCGTTTGGCAGTTTAATGTTGAAAATGGATAATTGGATAAATTCCCATACGTGTTTGCACAGTGGTGGGTATGCAACATCTAAAGCCATAATATACATGAATCCTATATTTAAAGCTTCAAGTAGATCAGTGCATTTATAGATGAAACCTGCGATGTTAAACTGCGCATAAGTGATGTCATGGCCAAATTTTACAAATCTAATTTGTAAGTCCGTAATAGAATCCTCTTTCAATTGCACAATTGACTGTAAATTAAAATAAAATTTGATTATTTTGGGTAATAAATATTTGTATATTAACATATTTTAAAATAGCTTACCTCATATTCCTTAATAAAACGCTCCTGAATTTCAAATTTAGTGGCTCTACCTTTCTTTTCATGCGTTTCGTGTCTTTTTCCACTGTGTGGTAAGATGTATGGTATTAAAAGAAGGGTCAATTGTGCTCTCAATCCTAAAAAATAAATATTGTATTTATGACGTGATCCAAATAAAATATTTGTTTTACTAATTAATGCTTTATAATTTTAACACTTACGTTCTTCAGTGGATGTATCGATTTTCGTAAGTAAGTTGCAGACTGCTTTGTCCCGAAGAGTACGTGCGTGATTCAAAACATTTGAATATATCATCAACCAATTTTCAACAGGTTCTGTTGCTGAATACAATAATTTCACGTCCAAAGTGGTTAGCTTGATTCCATTGTTACCCTGTAGCACAGGGTACTTTGAGATATATTCAAATGTGGAAATATTTCCTTTTAATTCGTTTCGGCGATAAGCATGAGTTTCCTGCCACTTTAAAATAATTGTAGATAAATCCGAGGTATTCTCAGTAAGGTACTCAATACTTTCTGCTTCAGCTGAAAAAAAAATCATTTTTAATTTCAAGGTGTTATAAATTACTAATATCCTTTACCACATAGTGGTGTAGCCTATAAACCAATAACTTACATGGGAGAGACACATTTGCTTTACGCTTAAGGTCCTTGCGAGGCCTTCGACTTATTATTCCATCAGAACGTAAAGATGTCCTTTTGTTATTGTACGCACTCCACAACTTTCCTCTAGCAATACAGCCTTTCTCCGAGGGGAGGAAGTATGCAGAAGCTAATTCGGTATAAAAAATGTGGACAATCGATTCGGCCAGAACTTCAAAATCTTCACGTTTAAGTCTGAAAGATATTTTTTTTAATAAATAAATAACAATAATTATTGAAGTATTAAAAAATAATAAAAGCAAAAAAATATAAAACTTTTGCAAATACTAAAAAAAATAATAATAAAACTGATTAAAATCAATAAAAATATTGATATTAATAATTAATATTAAATTATTAACACATTTTTATTTTATCAATAACAACAATATATTATTTATAAAAATTAAAACATAATAAATTAATATTAGAAACATAAGAATAATTTTAAGCATAATAAAAATTGTAATAATTAATATAATATTAATATCAGTAATAAAAAAATGTTAAAAATAATAATATTAAAATAAAAATTCTAATTATAAAAATATTAAAGAAAATAAATAATTTATAATGAAACATAGTTTTTTATTTTCTTTAATATTTTTATAAGTAGAATTTTTGTTTTAATATTATTATTTTTAACAATTTTTTATTACTGATATTAATATTATATTAATTATTACAATTTTTATTATGCTTAAAATTATTCTTATGTTTCTAATATTAATTTATTATGTTTTAATTTTTATAAATAATATATTGTTGTTATTGATAAAATAAAATAAACATTTGTTAATAAGTTTATAATTTATATCGTGCCAGTTTTCATAAAATTTTTATTTTATATTATTTTTTTAATTTATTATTATTAATATTATTCTTAATATTTGTTATTATTTTTATTTATTAATTTATTATTTTTCCTTTTATTAAAATCACTATTTTTTCAATAAAGTAAAATACTTACAATCTGTTAGGGTCTTCTTTTAGACATTCGTCAATAAGGGCCTTCGAAATATTCACCCTATCTTTATTTTGCAGGCGTTTTTCGGCAATAAAAATTCTCCATATTTTGTTGACAGCCGGAATTGACTTGATGGACTCTATGTCAGTCTTTAAAGTTGAAATAACATTTGTTTTTGGGGTAAGATCCCCAAAACCACCTACGGATTCACACTCCGATAGAGTGCCACTAACTGTCGATGCTGATGCCACTGATCGAACGGAGTCTAAATGAAAATTAAATATATTATTTAAAAAAAGAAATATATTATTTAAAAAAAGAAAAAAATATTAACAGCCTGTTTCTTTATTTTGAAACGAAATTTTTTTTGTTCCGACATAAAGAAACAGGCTGTAAATCCAGTGTACTTACCTCCAAATTGCAACTCAATATGAAAAGTAGGTGTTGACATATATTGATGAATTACTTTTTCAAACTGGTCTTCTTTAATGGTTGCACCAAACACTAAGGCTGTTATTTTTCTTGAGGCATCAATTTTTAACTCTAATTTGGCTGCTTTTATAAAGCTTTGTAGATTTAAAGGCTCCGGCGCTTCGACAAATAATTTGTCTTCCCACAAAACAGTTGGTATCAACATTTATTACAACACTTGTGACACGACGCGAAGGCACAAAACAAATAAAAAGAATAAAAAAGAACACAACCAGAATGCCAACATGAGACACGCGCAAATGTTACGCTCTTTTGTTCTCATCAAGCAAATCGGTGTGTATGCGAAAAACGCATGTATGTATGTATGCATGAACATTAGTAAGAAGCAACGTCTCAGCAACAAAAAAACATCCAAACAGCTCTTTGTGTGTTGTTGTTGGCATTTTTTGGTGCATGGACAATAGAAAAGAAATAAACGTCTCAGCAACAGTTTCCATCCCTCTTGCCGCGCACACACCACACATAGTTACAGCAGCGATCGACAGTGTTTGCTTGGTGAGAGCAAAAGAGCGTAACATTGGCGCGTGTCTCAAGTTGAGACACTCAAGTTGAGATACGCGCCAATGTTACGCTCTTTTGTTCTCACCAAGCAAACACTGCCGATTGCTGATGGAACTATGTGTGGTGTGTGCGCGGCAAGAGGGATGGAAACTGTTGCTGAGACGTTTATTTCTTTTTTATTGTCCATGCACCAAAAAATGCCTACTTGAGAAAGAAAACGTTACAACAACAACACACAAAAAAATTGACTCCTCTGTATATATGTCGGTGTTAATGCGAAAAACGCATGTATGTATGTATGCATGAACATTAGTAAGAAGTAACGTCTCAGCAACAACTAGAAAATTCACACCGCACAACAGCAACGAAAAAACATGCAAAAAGTTTTTTCGTTGTTGTTGTTGTGCGGTGTGTATTTTCTAGTTGTTGCTGAGACGTTACTTCTTACTAATGTTCATGCATACATACAACTTCTATTTACAGTTATATTTGGAAGAGAGCAAAAAATGTTTCGGTTCTGCTTTGTTGTGCGGCCAACCAAGCCAACACATCATCAACGCAAAAACAGACTTCTCACCCTCCTGTCTTCTTTTAAGTCACCTATAACACCAATTCAAAAGTAATCGAGAGCTCTGTTGTTTAGCTCTTTGAAAAAAATCCTCTCCGCACCCATAAAAAAATATGTTCTAACATATAAAATATGTTGGTACCCAACAAATAAAATTGAGTTATGTTACAAAATGTTGCAAACAAATATTTGTTTGCACCGAAACAAATTATGTTTGCATCCAAAAATATATTTGTTTGCAACCAGTCCCAAACAAATATATGTTTGGATCCAAACATATTTCTAACATATATTTTTCTGCGTGTAGACATTGTAGACGTCGCAAGTACAGTGCATCCAGAGTGGTGTTGCATGCAGCAAATGCCGTTGCAGGCTTTAAGTGATTTTTTTCGAAGGTGGGCGATAACGTATGGACGCCTACATTTCAGCATGTGCACACGTATGGGCAACATGCAATAGACACGCATATTTCGGGGTCCTTGTCAATGGGGGAATGTATCCGCATGGAATTGCAGAAAACGATATGTAAAGATTCGATGATTTTATTTTCATGGAACTCATATGAAATTTGGGGGAACTAAACTAATTAAGATTGAGTATTTAGATACATTTAGGAACATCGGTTGGGGGTAAGGCTTCATAGCTAACCTTTTGAAGTTGGAGTTAAAAATTTTCCAAATATGGCTGTGATTACGAAGATTTAAATGTATGGAGGTTTAAATTTCAATTCAAGTTTCGCTCATTAAAAAATAAACACAATTCCAAAAAAAAACTCCAAAACAACCTGTTTATGCTCTGCTCCACAACAGCAAGAATGTACAACTTTTTATTACGATAATCGATTTTGCATTTATGATATCTAAGAAATTGGAAAAGTATATGATACTTTGTAAGAAAGGCGATGCAAGCTCTATACACCAAACCAGTAAGAAAAGGTCAAAAGTCGGGCGTTAGTATAGCTCCCGTAAAAAAAGTTTATATTGGGAATTTATGTAAAGAAGATCATACCAACTATGAACCTTATTTGAATGCGTATCAGGACTATAGAATAGTCACAATTTGGGAACTATATCCAACTCTGAAGCGAATTTCAACAAATCTGACGGAGGCTTTTTTACTTCTAGTACCAAATAACATTGATGATATGACTTCGAAAAGAATTATATTAAAAAATATTTATTGGATCGAGTTTCACCAAATGGAAAAATTCGGTTGAATGTGAAAAAATCCGTTCAATTTGAGCTATGATGAACATTAACCATAAAATCGGATGAAGATGTATACCAAAGGTATATAAAAATCTAAACCGATCTCGATAACATTTGGCAAAGTAGGCAAAGCTAGGTATCAAATATAATTGTTGTGGAGTGCATATAACGCGTGTGAGGGACTTAAACACCAAATCGGATGAAAGATGTATATGGGAGCCATAGCTATACCTGAAACGATTTTCACCAAGTTTGAAGTACTTGCTTCTAGACTGAATACGGCCGAATGTGTCAACATTTAAGATATTTGAACTGATATTGAACTGATTTGGTGCACAATTAACCCGAAATCGGTTGAAGATATGTATTGGAGCTACATCTAAATTTAAATAGGGTTCATCCTTCGGTCAAACAAATATTGTTTAAAAATTTCATATCAATCGTATAATAAATGCGACCTACATTTAGTTTTCAAAAATACATAGATAGCCGGACGTACTGGCATGCATAAATCGACACAGAAAGTGATTCTATGAAGATCCTCGAAAGTAACTATGAGTCTATCTCGCTTCCTTCTATTTTGGGTAGGGCATAAAAACACCACGCAGTCCCAGGTAGGGAAACAAACAATCTGGTTAAATCTCAACCTGCTTCTTTAAAAAATATATAACCAGCTCATCTGAAAATATATAACCAGCTCATCCAACAACGAATTTCGAATTTTGTGTTGTGAAATGTGAATTCTAACCAAATAGATATATTTCGAGATTATTAAACAAAAATTTTAGATAGAGACCCAGGTCCAAGAAATTCCGAGAACCATATCGATAAACGGAAACCTGTCCCCTTTAGCTTTGTTCTTTTATATGCAAGAATTTTTAATGTGTATCCTCTTTGTAACTTAAAAAGCTATTAAACTTCGAAACTTGTCTGAGTTAGGGTGGGAATACAAAATGCACATATTTGGCTGGCTTAAGTCATCGGCTGGCTTCTTCGTAGAGGAACAAAGGAGTTTTAGTTTGACTTAGTTCGGAAATGGCTCTAGGCTCCTTTGTTCATTTCCGAAGAAGCCAGTCGATGACTTAAGCCAGCCAAATATGAGCTTTATGTATGTTATCGTTGATACCAGAACGGATACCTATTTACAAGGTGAAGTATCACAGTTGAACGTGGTTATACGCTAAAAATTTCAAATTTATTTTCAGAGACATCAATCGATTTTTCTGGAAAATTCAAAACCATAATGGTTTATGACAGGATCAAAGTAATAATGTATAAATTTACATATTTCTACATATTTTAATATATCTAATAACCATCTTAAAAGATTATTTCCAAATTTCTCAAACGAAGTGATATTTTGCGATGCATGTTATAGCTTGAATTGATTTTTAAATGTTTGTGTTTACACGTTACTGGTAATATACCATGTTACCTACATTCTAATTCTGCCAATGCGCAACCATCTCTCAATTGCGGTTTTTCTTTAATATTTTGGCGATATTTAGCGTCTGTATGTATTCAAATGCGAGTATATCTGCACAAAAGTTTGTGCCTAGATTCGATGCATTGTAGCAGATAACAAACAAAATTGAGTGAACACAAAACACTGCAACGCCACACAAAAACGTATGTATGTGTTTATATATGTACGTATTTATGTATGTGTGTATGGGCATTTGACTGACTTCAAATTGCCAGTTGTTGTGGTGCTGTATGGTGATGGTAATATGCATAACCAAGTTTTTGTTTTTGTTTTTTTTGCATAAACGTTCCTTCATAACTTCAACCGCTAACGCCTCCCTCCCCACCCTCATGATTGCCATCACTTTGCTTATTCGTACGAATTACTATTTATGAATGCAAATAAGGCGCACTGCACAAAACTCAAAACGCCCGGTGTCTCCTCGATTCTCGGGAGTGCGTCTGTGTGTCCCTGTTTGCTTAGAGAGGAGCACTTCTCAAGAAGTCATTCAACTTTTCAGGGTTACAGACGTCGCCTTCAGCACCAAGACGCCAAGACGTTCAAGAAGAAGAAGGAGAAGAATACACCCAAGGAAATCTAAGACACAGACAAACTGCATGGAAAACAACCGACAACTGGAAACATGTGTTCGCTCACTGACTGCAAATATGAATGACTCTTGACGGATCCCTTGGCTGCATCTCCGCACATTTCAAAGGATTCCTTTTCCTAAATTCGATGTGCAACACATGCGTTGTTTGCTGTTTTTAGCCTTCTGCTTAATATTCAGAAATGAACGAATGTCATGAACGAACGAAAACGTGTCCAAATGCAAAAAACAAAACATGGGCTGGCAGAGGAAGCGCAACAACTTCCGTTGCTAAAAACTTGAAGCATTCTAATTTGAGGGTATTCTTCAGTTCGCTTTTTTTATTCGCTGGATGCCATTTTGATGCTGCGATTTTTTTTAATTACCAATGGCTCTTAATATATTTGTATATATTTCCTGTTAGCTAAGTCAATGAAAAATATTACTCCCCATTACACCTCATTGCCAAAAAAATGGTTCCCCAACCATTAGGGAGAACGAGTTTAACTAAAAACAAAGTTGAATTTAATACAAATATCAGTGAAATCAATCGGAAAACAAGGTCAATGCCTGCAAATTTGGGCAATTATTCGATATTGTATATTTTTTTAATAAGGCTGTTACCTCTGCCTGCTCAGAAAAAACCCCAAATACCAATTTGTACCCAAGTCCGCTAGAAAGTACTGTTCCAATTTTTCTGTGTTTAAAATATTTTAATATTTTTTTATACGCATAAACTGTCAGAATTTCAGAAAATGGAATACTTCGGTCGACTATATCTGGTATCTCATGCACATTTCAACATTCTCTAAAATTTATCATATATTTCATATAAAGTGAAGGAAGTAGCCAATTTAGTCCAAATCGGGTACATCGCAATATTTGTGTCATAAGTATTTAGGTGCGACACGAAATGGTCAATATTGACACATTCCTTCGTAACCTACTCCATAGAGGGTTGACAGTTTGAATAATCATAACAGAAGTCAAAATATATTTAAATAATCGAACCTTGGCTGAGGGTATACCTCTGTAGGCAAACTGGACTGATATTTTCCAACTGGTTTTATTTATATATAACCAATAATTGGAACCTTGTATTGTGAATTTCTAAATATTTCAAACCAA